AAATGCAGCCAATTTTCTATCAGGGAACTTTTCTTGCCTCTTGGATCAGGGGTTTGGGATTTTTTAAAAACTGGGCTGAAAAAGTTTGAAGCCCCTGATTAAACAGAAGTGGTATTTCCAGTCTTTTATTAGTGGCATGTCTATGGGTAGATTGTAGGCACATAACTAGAGCCTTACAACCTTGAGAGTCCCCCATTTGTTGCCACAGTCGTCTTTTTATTTTCCCACCTCCCTCATTCTCCTTCTGAAGAAACAAGATGCTGAGTGTAACTGCAGCTCTGCTCTGCAGTATCCCTAAGCTCCTTTAAAAGTTACTGTAGATAAGTAACACATGTTCCAGTGCCTTTGCTTGGTCAGGAAAGGGAGTGGGGAAGCCCTAGGGGGGAAGAGAGGGCGGGAGAGTGCCATGAAGGGGGAAGAAGGGGAAAAGGAACTGCCCAGGAATCTGTAAAGCATCTGGCTCTTGTGTCTCCGGCATATTGATAATACTACTTTGGGAAGCACGGTCATTTGGGAACCATGTTTACCATTTTAATGAATGAAGCATGGAAGAAGACAGAGCTCCACAGTCTGGATAGTATAATAAGAGACACATAAATATCTTGCACTTGGGGAGATATGGATGGAACAGCAGGGAAGGCAGGAACTGAGAAGAAGCGGTGATTTTGTGGTGAAGGGAGACATGAAGCCAACTGAGATTCATGTGCTAAGTTATACTAATAGGACTGTTATAATTTCAGCTCCAGTTTTGCTGTGACCCTTCTAGTAAACTGACAAATTTTTTAGTATATCAAACTGAAGAGTGATAGGAATGATATTAGGCAACTCAGATCTAACAATGCTTGCCATTTATTGAGGCTCATCATTTCTAGTTACAAAGGTCTTTTCTGTACTTTTGATGTATGGTGCACACGTGCCATAAAGTGAAAATAAAACAGAATGGAAAGTAGGTGAAAGAAACACAAGAATGCAGTGTGGCTGTTCCTTAATAAAGGGACCACAGTAACGTAGCAGTTCTCCAGTTACTAAATTATAAGATCTAAAGGTACATGATATTTTGTGTAGTAAAAGACCCCCCCGCCCCATCTCTTCCACAGTTATAGTCAATGGATTAAAATCAAGCTATGGGATAGAGGACCTCTGGTGAAGTTCACCTGATGTTTTTGCACACCTGCAAGGGGGGAATTAGAACTGTTGGAAATAAGGATGCTAGATTAACCCAGGTGCTTGGCTTCTCAGCAGAAACAGAGACCTCTGACATTGGTGAGGCTTCCTTGCAGTGCTGAGCCTTTCACAGCCAGCACTAAGAATCCACTGCTGACTTCCAGCGCTTGTGGTCCTGCTACTCTTCTTTCCTGTCCTATCCTTCCATTAGGGAAGTAAGAGCAAAAAGTGGGAGAGGGGAGGACAAGCACTCAGCACTACCAGCTACTCTACTTAGCTGCCTTCTTTCCCTCTTGAGACAGAAACCAAAACCTCTCACCAGAGCCACCTGGAGGGAGTACTGTCCGCCATCTCCCTTTGCCTGCTGTGAGATACCACCTTCCTGCTTGCAGCCATAGCAGAAAGGAAGAATGACAGAGTAAAAGTGAGTAGTACAGAGACTATTGCAGCCTTCCAGACAGTGCTAGGTAGTTGTAATAGAAATAGCCAAAATTTAAGGCATGAGGATTTGCCTATGAGCACAGTGCAAGGGGAAAGTGGTGACTGTGTAACTACAAGATTCAGTGGTGAAATAAATATATGACAGGTACGCAATTCAGATTTCCCCACCCAAAAGCCTCACAATGCTTGCACCTTCTTCTCTGTACTCCACTGTGTAGCCTGAAATGGTACAGTTTCCTGTACTGGAGGGAGGCAGCCAACGAAGAATCACTGAAGTGCAGCTTCTTTCCTGAGCAATAGGCCGACTGGGGGCAGCTGGGACGCCTGGGGCGGGGAAAGAGGGAGGTGGAAACAGTTAGCAGAGAAAGGAACGGAACTAGAGAAGAATTTTGGAGCCCCAACTGGGACTCCAAACAAAGGAGCCCCAACAAAGGAGCAAAGAGCAGATTACTATCAAAACCTCTCTCCCTCTCTTTCTGTCTCTGTATATGTATCGTTCTGCAGAAAAAAGAACATCTGAGGAGCAAAACCACCATGGGAAATGTAGTAACAGGAAAGAGTTAATTTCTCTCCAAGAAGTGTTGCTTTAATCCAGTTTTTTCTTTTTAAATGTAACCTGCAGGACAGATTAAATTCCTGATTTAAAACAATTTAATTATAAAATGCATTATTTTTAGTGCAATTTAATATAATTGCTGATTGTAATCAGTAATCTATATCACCCTAAACACTGGAGAGGTGTAATTTTTAAAAGTAATTTGAATTTTAGGAAGACAAAGAAAATGGAAGGAGGCAAGCAAGCCCCCAGCACACTCCTACTGACACACATTTCCCTGCTATATATTAAGTTATTGTATCAAGTTATTATCAAAGTCATTTGGTAGTTAACTCTGCTGACTACATTTTTCTTCAAAAGTATAGCATGCATGAGGGCTGATCTAATGATTTGGAAAAAAAATGGTTAATCCTTTAGAGCAGTCTCAACCTCAGCTACTTTAAAATGTGTGGACTTCAATTCCCAGAATTCCCCCATCGTAAGTCTACACATCTTAAAGTTGCTGAGGTTGAGAAACACTGCATTAGAGTTTCATTATTTTGGAATGAATGCATGTAATGGATAGATCATGAGATTTTGCAATCTTCTGTTTGCCTTGATATGCTAATGTGGAGATGGGGAGGGGAGATTTACCAGAACTGGCAGGTGAGGAGAGGATTAAGCACATTCTCTATTTTCTAATTCAAGAAGATTATACAAAGAAAACGACTACCATTTTTCAGTGACATGTTAATAATCTGCATACACATACCTCAAGACACAACTTTGCATGTGAAAGTTGGCCTGTCAGCTTTTCACAGGATGGATTTTTTTTTTTTTTAATGAAAAGGAAGTGTTTAAACTTGTAGTTCATTACTTGCAGTTTCAAATGGCACATGCTGAAGAACTCTAAAGATATAGGCTCGCTCCCTGAGCTTGACTCCTGGTGATGACGTCCATGTACTGTAGTGTTTGGGGCAGCAATACAGGCATGGTTTGCCACTGCCTCCTTCCAGGATTCAAGTTCCAAGTATAGTCCACAGCTTAGGTATCACCTGAGGGACTTTCAGCCAGGTCTGAATCAAGTCTGACATTTCTCAGGTTTGGGGGGATTAGGGGGATTAGACTGGGTGGTGTCCCTGGCTGTGCCTAAAAAATCTGAATATGTAGAGAGGTTTACAAATCCTTTCTGTCTCAGGCTTCTTCAGCAATGAGCCCAAGATAAGAAACGATATACCTACTACTCTTCCTACAGAAACTTCTTATAGATATAATATGACATGTAACAATTGTTTCCAAGCAGGTGATGCTCTCCAAATACATCCAATTAAAGTGTGGCCCACTGGCCCTCTCTCTGCAGATCGCGGAGACACCCCCCCCCCCCCCCAG